TGTGTGTGTGTGTGTGTGTGTGTGTGTGTGTGTGTGTGTGTGTGTTTTAATTCATTTTTAGCCACATAGACTTATAATAGTTAGATGGGTGGCCATCACCACATCAATGGGACAGATGATAGAGATGGATGGGTGGGTGGGTGGGTGAGTGGGTGGGTGGATGGATCCATCCGTCCATCCATCCACTCACCCACCCATCCATCCTTGTGACAGGTAATCCAAATACTTAATTAGGACAGGTAATCCAAATAGTTATTTGGAACAAAAAAAGAAACAAGAACTACTTTCTTGCTAAAATCATTTCAGAAGAGCCTTACTGAATGAGACCAAACTCACTGGGCAGGCCTACAAGCTTGTTAAGACAATAACCCTTGAGCAGCAGTTTTTTCCCCCATTGTGAAAGTCTATGGATGGGTTCGCCTATTGCAATCTGGATTTTTTTTTTTTTTTGCATTGATTGCTTAATAAGCCAAAATGGATGGATTGATAGTTAAGATACAAGTCATGGCTTAAGAATGACTAGGCTCATGTAGCATGCGAGGGTTGGCATGTATGTGAACTTTGTCTGTATGTGATATTGTATACTGACTTTGTATACTGATAAATTATATTGTTCTAAATAAAGGAATTTGGGGATAAATGGCTTTACTTATTGTAAAGTATTCCTACAGTATATATTATGATTTTTAAAACCTATCTTTCCTGAATTTAGAGATACAAACTTTATACCAGTTATTCGCAGTCTATACACACCAGACTACAGTTCCTACTATCCCAAGCCAGCATGACTTTTGGAGCTGGCAAAGAAGATAAAATTAGCAAACAAATGGATTCTCTTAATACATGCAATTTATAGGTACCTTTGTTGAGTGCCACCTGCTTATCAGCATCTTGGTCCTGTCTTGATTGCAAGAGACCAGACTCCACTGTCGAATGTGAGGCTGATGCCCGGTGATGGTCCTTCTTGCTCTGTTCAAAGCTGGACTTTGACTGTGGGGAAAATATATTTTCTTTGAAAAGTGTCTGGTCTTGCTAAAGAGAACCGCCTATAGACATCTGTTACTGCTCTGAAGGTTTGTTTGCTTTTGTTTAAGGAATTTATATGGCCACCCAGTTCATAGTTCTGATTATAGATGGTTTACAAAGAGTTAAAACAGAGAAGAAGAAAAATAGGCAACAAGAATAAAATATTAACAAGAATGAACATATTGAAACAAGAATCAGAAGCATTTATGTAGATTTTTTTTCTTCTCTATTCCAAAACAATTCAAACAATCAAAAACCAGTCAGCTGAAGGAAAGATGGGGCAAATGCTTATTTCATTAGCATGCTTTTTGTTCAGTGAAGGTAAAATATCCAGGAAAGGCAAGGATTTCTATTCCTAGTAGAGTCCCCTAGGAATTAGAAATGACCAGCTGGATATACATTGGAGAATAAAGCTCATGAGATAGACTGCCACCTGTTCTCTACTTCTATAAATGGAAACCAGAAATCACACCAGAACATGATAGTTGAAGAAATTATATTGCCCTTAATTAGAAAACAAAAATAGCAACTACTTGAGGAATAGTCTGCAGAAAAGATTCACTGTCTTGGATACTTTTCTTCTGCCATTTCTATGACTTTCATGAGCTTAATTGAGGGAACAAAGGGTTTTTAAGCTTCTTATAGTCAAGCCTCAACTTAATTTTGCTGCAATAATTTAGAGGCAGGTTGTCTGCCTGCCTGCCTGCCTGTCTGTGTCTGTCTGTCTCACTCTCTCTATATATATATATCAATCTATCTATCTATTTCCTGCCTTTATCATTTTTAGAAATAACTCAAGGCGGCAGATATATCACATACACCTTCCTCCTATTTTTCCCACCACAATAACCCTGTGAGGTGAGCGACTGACCCAAGAGAGTGGCTGGCCCAAGATCACCCAACTGGCTTTCATGGCTAGGCAGGACTTTAACCACTAGACCAAACTGCTTTTATATTGCTTGCTGCTTCTGCATAAGTAAGTTTTCCAGATCTTTGATTTTTTTTCAAAAACATGCAACCTACTTTCAGATGTGGGATGGAGGTGTCCCAATAGAGCAAATTCTCTGGTGCCATGATTTAATTCCTCCCTCTTCCCCATTTTGTGTTTCTAGTTTACATGCCCTGTTTTGAAAACCTACCTATCTTCATCTATGATTACATAATCAAACAATGGTTTGCATTCTCAAAAAGGCCAACTATTTGCTAAATAATTGTCATACCTGGACTTAATCTACATGTAGAAAAAGTGTTTCATGTGGAACTACTTTTATCCATTATGAGCTTAAAGACACAACAGATGTCATGAGCAGGAAAGATTAGACATAGGGTTCCCTCACCCACCCTCTCTCTGGCCCCACTGCCTGGGGAAAATAACAAAGGATAGACTATGCCTCTAGATCTCAGACTCCATTTTGATACCTGTCCCCTCTTCGACTCGCTGCTTTCCTGCCAGGAAGGGGAGTTAGGATATTGCCAGAGACGGCTTTCAGAAGGAAGTGGAGGGATAGTCGGAGGAGACTCCAAGGGCACATATAATTTGGGGAGGGGAGGTCGAGGTGGACCAGGCTCCTGGAGTGGAGAGGAAATCAAGAAGCATTAGGAGTAAGAGCAAAGAAACTGTGAAAATGTGAAGGAAAAGAGAATTAGTGAGACACAGATATAAGGACAGATGTTAAACCAGGATAGGTACCTGCATCTGAACACCAAAAACTCAAAATGAACAGCCTTTTTCCTTGGTGACCAACCCAGTACCAATCCAGAGAATACTACTGTTAGCCAGGTGTCACTTGATAAATAGTGTACATAATATGATGACTTGATTTTCACTTGCTTCAAAAAATATCTGCCATTTCAAAATATGCATCCCTTTTGAGACACATTCTTCAAAATACAAATATTTTCTATCAGCACAATCTGCTGCTTCACCAGACAATGCAAAACAGAACCTGAAGACATGGCTGATGTAGACTTAAAAGACCTCTTGTTGATTCATAAACATTGAGGTCAATAGGTTTTAGCAACATAAAAAATGATGCTCCACACAAGTATAGGGATAGCACGAGTGGAACTAGGGATAATGACTATTTCAGGGCAGGAATTTGGTTTTGATGACACAGTAGCTCAACTAGATGCTTCCACTGAACCTAGACATTTAACTAAAAGATTTTGGCTTGTTCTGATGTATCTATCAGTCTAATGTAAAGGAAAAGACATGGTCTACCAAAGTGTTAATCGACCTCAGCAGCTTTAAGAGGTGTGGGCTTCAACTTCTAAAATTCCCCCAGATAGAATTCTGGCATTTGAAACCCACACATTTTAAAGCTGCTGAGGTTGAGCACATTGGTCTATTAATTTCTGCATAATTTTTATATTGACGAAGAAGTAAGCTATCTGACTGTCCTCATCTTTCAGCTCAATCCAATGACTTAAGTTTTTATTTATGATGGGCAAGCATGACTGTCTAAGGACGGTACAAAATTAGTATCATACATTACTATGCTACTAATTTCAACTAAGTCATTCCAGATTTTTAGAGTACCGAAACACTTATTGCCAAAATATTTAGAGGGCCTTTCTAAAACAGAATGGTGGAATTTGCACCATTTATTTGACCTGAATACTTAGCATTTATTAGGTGCTTCTTTAATAGGCCTAACGACTTCCTAAACAACCTCTAGATGACACCTTCTGTGCACTTGTTCCATAGGACTGTCATTCTCCTGAGAGACTGACAATCCTGTCAAAGAAATAGAACATGGATATATCTATGTCAAATAACACACCTCCACAAAAGTCTGCCTGAATGTTCATAATAGCTCATTTAAAATACAAATCAGAGGCAGTCCAAACAGTTCTTAGTTCTATTGTGGCTCCCAGTCTTTCTTTTCTTTCCCCCTCCTGAAGCCAATAACACTCCTGAATTATGTTTGGCCCAAGGAAGAATCTCTTCTTTCTTCCAATTTCCCTTTCACAGAGCATATGCCCATATATGTGCATTTATGTATCTTACACAGACTTTTTTGTTCTAATTTATTATTTCCCCAGTACACAAACACATACGCATCAAATAGTTTACATTCTGTAATGAAAAAAAAAGAAAAAGCCAGCCAAAGCTTGGTCCTGTCATAGCCAAAGACAAAATGGGTCAAGAGCTGCCATGGCCACAATTGGAGAGGTAAGGGATGTTTCCACAGCAGAATCACTTAGCCAAGTGGAGCTGCAGAGAGGCTGTCCCTGATTGTACTATGACATCTTGTCCTCAAGGTACTCAAGATTTTCAGGTGGAAAAAGGAAAGAAAACATTACTTCCAAATTGGAACAATTAAAGACAGCTCAAGACTGCTTCAGAGCAGACTGATGGTGAGATGGAGGCAAGGTCATGAAGACATGCCTCTCCAAAATAGTTGGGAAAGCACCAAGGTGCTTTATCCAGCAGGTGTAAGGATGAGACTTAATAGTGCTCTGAACAGAGGTGCAGTTCAGAAGGACCCCTTTTTTTTATCCCAGGTGTTACTCAGATGCATCATTAGTTTTTTGCCAACTGCAGAAGCATAAAGAAATAAGAGATGGAGAGCCTTGCCTTATGGGAAAACATCTGCTCATTATTTTAATTGCTAAAAGGCTTCTTCTTATAAAAGTAAAATGGAATAGAACAAAGAAAGAGACTATTTTCTATCATGATCAACCTCTGGCTTACTTACTTTCAGGTGCTAGAAAATGTTAAAAACCAAATTTGAAGCAAATGAAGAAATAAAAATTAAACTCAATTACATACAGAGTTTTTATAGGTAAACTGGTGCACTGAGTGCCAGCTACCAGGAATTTGTTCTTTAGATGAACAAACTCTATACATTTTCAAGGATTTGGGGCCAAGTTTCCCAAACTTTAACTGCCTGGCTCTCTGAAATTATTCAAGAGTTGTCAGCCAATAATGTCATGCTTAGATTTAAACGGTGGTCATTGGAGTAATTAGTCCAACCGTTCCACGTCATAAGAAGGTTTAGATCTCCACCTACTGGTGGAAGGATAACCTTTAAAAAACAAAACCTATCAGGCACCATCTTCCAGCACTTTTAGACATTCTAATTGATGAGAGATTTTGCTCACCTCATTGCTGCCTTGCTTGGTAGGGGAACTCTGGGATCCAGACACAAGAGAGAAAGGGCTCAGGGGGCTGGTGAGGCTAGCTGAGCTCAGAGGACTGGCTGGACTGTTGGAGCTGTAAGTTGCTGATGGGCCAAGGGCCACTGCAAAAAAGGGGAACAGATAGTAAAACATTAATGAACTGCAGGAAAGGGACATATTTATTTATTTATTTATTTATTTATTTGATTTGCCAATTGTTTACAAGATAATAAGTATAAGTGTATACATAGTTGTGAATACATGAAATGGGTACATATAAGAAAAATAAAAGAAGAATAAGAGAAACAATAGGACAGGGACGGTAGGCACGTTGGTGCGCTTATGCACGCCCCCTACAGACTTCTTAGGAAAGGGGTGAGGTCAATAGTAGACAATCTAAGGTTAAAGTTTTTGGGGTTTGGGGAAGAAACTACAGAGTCGGGTAGAGTATTCCAGACATTGACCACTCTATTGCTGAAGTCATATTTCCTGCAATCAAGTTTGGTGCGGTTAACATTGAGTTTGTATCTATTGTGTGCTCTTGTGTTGTTATGGTTGAAGCTGAAGTATTCATTGACAGGTAGGACATTGCAATGTATGATTTTATATACCATGCTTAAATCAGACCGAAGACGGCGTAATTCAAGGTTTTCTAGTTCTAGAATTTCAAGTCTGGTGGCATAAGGTATTCTACAACGAGTAGAGGAGTGGAGAACTCTTCTTGTGAAATATTTCTGGACTTTCTCAATTGTGCTAATATCAATATAATATCATATGATGATGAGTTGGAAATAACTGGAGTGAATGGAATGGGACAGAGAATATTTTCTATTAAAAGGAGACAGAGGACTTTTTAAAAAAAGTGATGAGGCTCAATGTACTTATACATATAGGAAATAAGCAAAGCATATAATGTTACTTTCTACTGCCTAAAACAGTGTTTCTTAAGCTCAACTACCTGAAGATGTGTGAACTTCAACTCCCAGATTTCTGACCAGGAAGTTTTGGGAGTTGACATCCACACATTTTAAAATAGTTGAGATTGGGAAACGCTGGTCTAAAGTACCTAAACCTGGTTAAAATACTGTATGCCTTAGTAACCGCTATTTTCTTTTGTTTCCCCTTATGTTGACTTCATTTAAACCTTGACACATATTCCAAAAAGTTTTAAGTCCTCCTGATGGGTGTTTCAGTATTAAAGGTAGTTTTTCCTATTAGGCAGTCAACAAATGGCAGCAGTTTTACCAAAGACACAATCTGAGGCACTTCAACCCATATGACTAGAAGGCCTTCAAGGTCCCTTACAACTCTGTTATTCTGTTGTATTATCCATGGTTCCATCAGTATGGCATAAGCAATGGTGGCAGGATCAGGCTGGCACATATTGACACTTTAGATTGGTACAGCTATATCTCTCTATTCTGATCTTGGGCTATCCTCTGGGGCCATTCTGCTTGAGCAATGAGAGCATCCAGTTCTTCCAATTATTTCAAACAAGGCTCTTCCTTGTACATGCCAGATCTCTCAGCCAATAAATCAACCTGAATAACAGCTGACATGGATGGATGAAGGGGGCTGCAGAGTCAGATGGCTGCTTCATTGAACAATTCCCCCCTGGGTTTAGCACTCTACTGGAAGAGCAGTAAATCGAAACTCAAAATCAGCTCGAACAACTGACAGATAGGGTAGAGTGGCAGAGAAAGAACTACTCATACAACCCCCCTAGAAGACTATCAGCCTATCAGTTTCTACTGCTTTTGGACACAGATGGGATTTTTAATGGACGAGTGTTAATCTTGGTGTCCAAGGATAGTCTGATAGTAATAATGGATTGTACCACAAAGCAGAGAGAGAAAGAAAAGTCACACAACCTCCAACCTCTCAGCTTTTCAGGCTGATTGAGATCCCTTTACCTCTTACCACCTGGGCAACTGTGGCAAATATGTGGCAAAATGCCAAGTGAAAAGCCTAGTTTTTACAGAAAACTAGAATTTAGTCACAAGTAAAAAAAAAACAAAAAACCAATTACAGCTGTCTTCTTTCTATAAGTTAGAACAGAGACACTGAGAAATAGCAATGTGAGTAGTAAACTATGCTGATTTCAGGCTCACGGATAAGAAGGAAGTACTTTAACTTTAATACAGAGAGGGTTGTGGCCACAATGGATAGTTTCCCAGTGCCAGTACCTCCACTTTCATCTTTTAGGTACTCCCCTCCCAATATATTTTTGCTACATCTCCCTAGCTCTAGAGATAAAGAAAGTCAGAACACATATGTAGCTTTGAATGCATAGATTCTTGGGCTGTAGGGCCCTTAACTTGTATCCATTAGTTTAATCCTGGTATCATCACTGTAATTATTCTAGTTGCTGATTGATTGATTGTTATTGGTACCTTTGGTTGATTAAAGAAAAGGCCACGTTTCTTGATTAGCTACTTAATTTATTTGTCATTTATTTATGAAACTCCTATGCTTCTCCACTCCAGAAAGCTCTGAGCAACCCAGATAAGGAACTGTTCTTAAGCAGCATCAGGGCTGGCAACTGGAACTTTTCAACTACAGCTGAAAAAACATTTCATGCAGTGCATTAAGATAAAAGCAGATACTCAGATTTGGAATAACTATATCGGTCTCACCATTTAATAGACTGTCATTAGTTTGGGACGTGGGAGTCACAGGGGAAGAGAGATCTGAAGCTTGATCATAAAGCAGAAGGGCATATACAACTCGATCTAAAATGCTTTGCATGCTGACTTCATTTTTAAATAGATAAGACACATTGGAAAAAGTACAGAAAGAGATATTAAAATAGATTAGAAACCTTCTCTTTAAAATACAACTAATGCATTCAGAGCTTCTTAAAAACTTTTAAGTTTTTAAAGAGGCAGCTTGAAGTAGGTGTGGACAAAGTTTACACAATGATGCCTAGCATGGAAATATGAATAGTGAGAAATAAGTTTCAAATGCAGTCAGTTCAGGACTGACAACAAAAAATAATTCCTTCCCTCAACACAGCTTTAACTGATGGAATTTATTGCCACAAGATGAGATGATAGTGCTGCATGCAAATTAGCTGGTTTAAAATTATAGGCCAATTTATGAAGGATAAGACTATCAGTGGTTTTAGGTGAACTAGTTAAACAGAAATGGGACAAGAAAAATACAGGGATTAAAAAAGTATCATCAAGAGGAGTGCCAAAGCAGTTATACTACTGCCAACACAAATAGTTGTCTAGCAAATAGGATGCATGCAACTTTCACTTTACAGAACTGAACTTTTTATTGTATCTTTAAAATGAGCCATAGACTGTTCTGACTGGGCATTACAGAAATTGAATATTGGAGTTCAAAATATTTCAATATTAAAGACTTGAAGAATGCTTGTTGGAATGAAATAAAGGTAGTCCTTGACTTAAGACAGGAATTGAGCTCAAAGAAGGAATTTCCTGACAGAACAGTTGGAACAGGTTGTCTCCAGAGATTGTGGGTGCTCCAATACTGCAGGTTTTTAAGTCCAGAATATTATAGGGTCTCCTGCTTGAGCAGGGGACTAGACAACATCTAAGGTCCCTCCCAACTCAGTTATTCTGTTAAAATTACGGATGAGTGTCATTCTGCATATTTAGTAGGTCATCACATGACCCGCCTGATTTTATGACATTTTTAGCAATGGTCCCAGGATGCAGCAGGAAAGTGCAACAAATGGTAATTCTACCCTGATTCGAACAGCAACCAACAGATTCCAGTGACCATTTCAAGCAGCAGAAAATGGATGTTCATCTGTGTTGGCAGTTAATTAACACTCAGATATTTTACACTCAGATATTAATTGAATATTGTATCAGGTTAGCAATAACAATGGCATTTAGATTTATATACCGCTTCATAGTGCTTTTCAGCACTCTTGAGGAAGTTTAGAGAGTCAGTGTATTGCCCCCAATAATCTGGTTCCTCATTTTATTGACCTCGGAAGGATGGAAGGCTGAGTCAACTTTGAGCCCCTCAGAATTGAACTGCTGGCAGTGAAGAGTGAGTTAGCTTGCAATACTGCATTCTACCCAGTGGTGGGATTCAATTTTTTTTATGAGCGGTTTTGTGGGCGTGGCTTGGTAGGCGTACAGGGGAAGGATACTGTAAAATCTCCAGTCAGAGGTGGTATTTATCAGTTCTCTGAACTACTCAAAATTTCCGCTACCGGTTCTCCAGAACTGATCAGAACTTGCTTAATACCACCTATGATTCTACCCTTTTATGGATCACTGTCTTGTCATGGCAAAGGGGCTTGCGTAGCTCAATGAAGCTATGAGCTATGCTGTGCAGGGCCACCCAAGACAGACAGGTCATAGCAGGGAACTCTGACCAAACATGGTCCACTGGAGAAGAAAATGGCAACCCACTCCAGTATCTTTGCCATGAAAACCCCATGGACAGTACCAAAAGGCAAAAAGATATGACAGACAATGGCTGGATGGAGTCACTGAAGCAGTCGGCATGAGCTTAAATGGACTCCAGGGGATGGTAGAGGACAGGAAGGCCTGGAGGAACATTGTCCATGGGGTCGCTATGGGTTGGACACAACTTCGCAACTAACAACAATTGCATTTTAACCACTACACCACCACGGCTCATTAAGAAATAAAACTCAAAATCTCTCTGAATAGAAGAAATGACCCTTACCTCGGTGTTTTGCGGTGTCTGTGCCCCGAGAGGGGTTGTTCTTTTTGAGTCCCTCCATCACATCCTGGATCCGCCAGATCTCTTTCTGGATTTGCCTGTTGAGCATTTCATTCTGAAAAACCAAGGTAGAGAAACAAATCCACATTTAATTAAACTAAGTACTAATGTTAGTAATTAATTTCCTATACTTAATTGGAAGTAGGGGGAAGGGTCATTTTAGGCAAACAACATGTTGCCTAATTTCAGGTCAGTTATGATACATATGTTTCTTTTCTTTTCTCTGTCATCAGGCTACACTTAATATCTGACAACTATTATAATAGAAAGTAGATAAATTAAATCAAGAAACGAAATATGACAAAGGGAAGAAAAATATTGTGTGCTTGAAATGGTTCCTTTAAAATCTATTTAAAGCATAGCCTCATCATTGTAATAAAATACAAAGATTTTGGGTCTGCTGTTTTTGATATTAAACACATTTATTTAAGAATAAGCAACAATCCATGAAGAAAATGGTGGTAGCAAAATGTTTCAAACTCAAAATATTGTGAATTGAAATGATCTATTTTGTATTTGAAATAGCTATCCTGACATTATTGGAAGTATTCTGATGCTATTCTGATCACTCTGGATATGTCATTAGCTCCAACCAGCCTGACTTCAAGCTCGGACTTATTTTAAATACAAAAGAGCTGCTTCAAGTTCAAACCAGATGTAGAATAATGGGAATACTACAATACAATTGGGAGGATCCTTTCAAACTTGAACAAAACTCTTTTAAAATGAAATTTTTTGGATGACACCTAATAAAAAACAATATATTATAAAAGGAGAGTCATAGGAGCCATGGTGGTGCAGTGGTTAGAATGCAGTATTGCAGGCTAATTCTGCCGACTGCCAGGTGTTTGATTCTGACCGGCTCAGCCTTCCAACCTTCCAAGGTTGATAAAACGAGGATCTGGAATAGAGATTGCAAATGCATCATCAAAAGTATCTGCTCTTGGTTGTGTTTCTCTTTTTTACAGATTTCAGAACTGAGTGGCATCCAAATGACTGGGGATTTCTGAGAATTGAAGTCCACATGTCTGGAAGACCTTCAGTTACAGAAGTCTATAAATGCTTTTCCTCCTAGGCTTATCTGCATCTGCTATTAGAATTCTGCAACAGAAAAAGTGTCTTGTAGGAAAGGGAATTTCAACAGAAAAAGAATAGGCAACCAAGGAGTAAGCAATTTCTTCATTTAACTTTTCTACCAAAAAGATCCCCTTCAAAGATGTCTTTTAATAAAATATACTGGGTATCTATTATATTTATGCATTCTGTAGATGAGTGTCCATAAAAGAATGAGGACGTGTGATTGCAAAGGGAAGAGATAGAATGTAAAGAAAAAATATGGAAATCAAAGGAAGGAAAGCTATGTGTTGAGAAGAAGGGATGAGAGATTGGGGAATAAAAGAGTACAAAACAGCAAAGAGGGCTGGGGAAAAGTTGTTTTCTTCCTTTATAAAAAGATGAAACAATTACCGGTATATTACAAATGTTACCACAAAAATACTTTTCCACAATTAACATGGTGATATTTCTCTGCTGAATTAATTAAAAATAAATACAAGTAATTATTAAAATTATTTCAGTTGTGTATCCTTGCCCAGTCTCTGTGCAATCTTTCTTGTAGATTAAGCTTAGGTTCTCCTGAGGACACTTGGCTTCATCAGCTCTTGGCAATTCAGCCTCTAGAGGTTTTGAAGTTTCTGAACAGGCTATATAATCCCCAAGTAAAGAAAGGTATAGTGTTTCATGTGACATTGTTAATGCAAAAACCTGTGGGTGTGTGAACATGATTTTACCAAGACTCCAGACTGTAGCTCAATCTTATCTCTGAATTGGAGAGTGCTTCAAGAGTTAGCTTCCTGCTGGCACGAATGTGTGGAATACAATAAATATAATGCAGAAAATACTCTGCATTCTGGTTTTTACAACTGTGGTTACAGTCTTTGAAAAAAATTACAATTCTGACAGTGTGGGTCTGTAAAATTTTGATTCACTGCCTGTTATCTTATTACAGTTCTTCAATCGATGCTGTGACCAGAATCACTGGAAAGGAGAGAAAAAACAGCTGATATCCCTACATCAGTATAGTATAGTACTTTAGAAATAAGCTTGATTTCTGAAAACTATTCAATTGCCTTTCTGTCATATTGTCCCATAAACATGGTTAGTGTATGAACTATGTTACCCTTGTGACTCTGCAATAGCATATATGGCTAAAATGTGATACGAGCAAGATACTGTATGTAAATTTATTCATTTTAAAAAATTCCATACCCATTAGGAAATTTACAAATATTTATTTACAATAAAAACAAAACCAACTCTCAGCTGAATTTTAAAAACCTAGAAAAAAGGAAAAAATGCTTGGATAAAAATTAATATTCTACGTCTAAGTTAGGCAATGTGTTATAGTTCAATTTTAATATGAATATCTGAAGGAAAGAGCTACTCTGGTCACTCAGCTGAGAGATCACTTGGGAAATACCCTTTACCTAGGAGATATCCTTCCCATCTAGCTACCAGTGATAAATATTTTGTTACTTGTAGCTCAATTCAGTCATGGAGACAACTGCATATCAAGGTCAGTGAAATTACATTGGAAATATGCACACGAATATAAACAAGCATTAATTTGTTATAATTTAAACACAGAGATGAGATAATCATCCATCCAATTAGAACTCAAGGTGTGCTTGCCCTTTCTATTGCCACAAGCAATTGTTTCCACCAGGAGGCAGAACAGCTCCTGTCCTCCAATGGAGCCATCAGGATGCTAAATATCAGCAAAGCAAGCTTGGATTAAACATCTATCTGGTATATTCAGGGGTGAAATTCAAAAGGTTTCCCAACTGGCTCCATGGGCGTGGCTTGGTGGGCATGGCTTGGTAGGACTTAGTCTCTAAAAGGAGGAAGGTGGGCGGGCATGGAAGGGGCCAACCAATTCAAATCGTCCCTATCTCCTGAGGTGGTGTGAGGTGGTTGAATTTCACCCCGGTATATATGACACAATGTTTATACAAACAGAAGTTTGTGTCTCAATAAGTATTAATTCCAAGCCACTTAGACAACTTTCTCTCAACTTGGGCTCTCCAAGTATATTACATTATAACTTTTGCTGGGTACAGTTAATCTTCTGAAAATTTCCCTAACCTAGTAGACTGAGAAATTGGGTGAATAATTTCTCTAAATTTGGGTAAGATTTCCACTTATTTCCAACATATTCTAGCAACTCAGCATGCTGAGCATTTGCCTTCAACCCATCTGATGCAGAGTTCATTCTCTCACCTGGATGTCCAAGTTCAGCTGTTCCCATAAATCATCATGCAAGGCTGACACCTCAGCTTCCAGATTCTCATATTCCATAGTGCTGTTGGCCAGTGCCTGTGGGGATTTGCAAACAGTCTCATCAAGATATGAACACCTAACTAGATCCCTGTAGTGCAAAAAAACTAATTGGCATATGAGCACTAACTGTTCAACCATCTGTTTAGATTACAGCCTTCAAAACTTCACAGAAAAGACAAAGATTTCCATTCCTAAAAACACTTGCTTTTTAAAGACTCATTACAAGTCTTCAGGGATAGGGAAGCAAGGCTATCATCTTGCATGTTTCTTTAGCTCCCCACTCCCCATTCTTGAAAACAAAGAGCAGCCTTTTTATTCAGGAAACCCTGAATATAGTTTTGGGGAGACAAATTGATGCCATACGCTTTGGATGTTTGCAACTTACCGTTGTGTTGGGCTTTATGTTTTTATCCCCCCCACTCTTTATATGAAAGGATAAGGCAGTAAAAGAATAAAAGACTGAAGAGATGTATTGCACAATGCTAAACTAACAAAACATTATTCTTTTCAATTCTTGCAATTCCTGGCAGCACCATCATTGCCAAAGCAAGAAGAACAGACTGCCCATTCAAGCTCAGCTGGAAGCACCTGGTTTTCACAGCAGCTAATGCTGCTGGAGAAGCAGTGAAGGCTGCAAAGCTGAGAAGGCCAAAGCCTCTAAAAATCTCCATAAATATGACCAGAGGGTCAACTATTCCATCAGTATGCTTCCATTGGTATATCTGTGAATGATATTGAATGATGGGATAAATCAAACCTAATATAACTCTTTCCCTTAGATCAGGGTTTCTGAACATTGGCATTTTAACATGTGTAATGGGGAATTCCGGAAGTTGAAGTCCACACATCTTAAATGGTCAAGGTTGGGAAACGCTGCCTCAGATAGTACTAAGTCCCTGAAGGTTTCTACATGCCTGGGATCATTTTGTGACCATAGAAAATGGAATGCTTTCAATGCAGAAGACTTCTTAGATTACCGTGCTGGCTTGGGACAGTTCCACCCGGATATTGATCAACTGATTCTGAAGAGATTCCTTCTTGTGCAGAAGCTTTTCAGGGTAGGCCGGCTGACTCCCAAACATCTCTAGTTCCTGGTGTGTCCCCATCAGTGCACTCTCTAGACTCTCCTAGTGATGAAATGAGCATCAGGAAATACATGCTTGTTAATAAAGGCAGGTGATTCAGAAGCAAATTCAAGACTTGAAATTGGTTGTTTTCTAACTAAGTGGCTCTTTCTGGACTAGCGTACAGGTAGTCAGAAACTTACAGCCACATGTTTAGTGACTGTTCGATGTTACAATGGCACTCAAAAAAGTGACTTATGACCATTTTTCACACTTTCAACTGTTGCAGCCTACCAATGGTCACGTGATCAAAATTCAGATGCTTGGCAACTGGCCATTTTTTATGATGATTGCAATGTCCCAGGCAGGAGTGGGATTCAAATTTTTTAACAACCAGTTCTGTGGGTGTGGCTTAGTTGATGGGTGTGGCTTGGTGATCATGTGACTGGGTGGACGTGGCTTGTGACTGGGTCATGTGACTGGGTGAACGTGGCTATATATTCATTAATCACCTATCCATTAAATGTTATTGGCTGGGCATGGCCAACTCAATATCACTCATATCGAGGCCCGCATCTCCTCGCCTGGCCTCTCATGACTGTGGGGATGCTGCAACAGTTTTAAGTGTGAAAAATGGTCATACGTCACTTTTTTCAGTGCCGTTGTAACTTTGAATGGTCACTCCACACAAGCAAAGTACCAGCAAAAGAGGGAAAGAAAACTCCAGAGACGTTCCTGAGACAGGAAGTCTAGTCCTGCCAAGAATGTAATAAGGGCTAACAGAGAGGCAGTTTCTGTAAGCAACACCAGAATGTTTCCTTCCTGCCTTCCTTACAGGATTAGGCCAGTAATTTCTTCTAACAACCGGTTCTCTGAGCTTCTTAGAATGTTAACAACCAGTTCTAGCGAATAGGTGCGAACCTGTAGAATTCCACCCCTGGTCCCAGGGTGATCACCTTTTGTGATTTTCTGAGAAGCAAAGTCAACTGGGAAGCCAGATTCACTTAGCAACTGTGTTACTAACTAAACAACAACAGTGGTTCACTTAATTATGGCAAGAAAGATTGTAAAATGGGGCAAAAGTCACATAACAACTATCTTGATATCAGTGGAAATTTTGAGTTCAATTGTGGTCATAACTCAAGGACTGCCTGTATGTCTGTCTGTACTGCTTCTAATATTTGGAGTCTCACATTGCTTCTAAAATGTATGTCCATGGATTTATTTCTATTTCTATTCTTATTCTTTTGAAAATCATTAAATTTAATTGAACTTTTGTCATGTTCTAGGGTGGAAATCTAGTAAACTTATGAGAAAAAAATAGAGCTGAACTTTATACATTTCTTAGATAAGGACTTTTTCTTAGGCATTTACAAACAGAAACATGCCTATACATCAGGCTCTGAAGGAGAATACAGTAGTTTATAAAACCCTGAGAATTTAAGGGTCTACAGTCAATATTTCTGCAATAAAATTTATATTAGTGCCAAGTCAATGTAATCCCCAAGCCTTCCCCCAATTCCATGTCCCAAAGTCACATGAGCTGATAACTGAAGTTTGCTTCAACCCTGGCAGTGAGGCAGATTATTAACTGTTCTGATGTTTTTCAACACCTGTCAACTGAGGCAGTTAACCTCAGTCCACCTATAGTTAGACTGGCTGTAATAATCCAGGTTGTAACCTGCTCTAATATGGTGGGAGCAGCAAAATGTTCATTCAGTTGTATCTCTGGGTATTTTATTATGCACACCAATAAAATAATTTGCTGTGAAAGATTTGTAAATTGAAATTGCTCCTTTACAGTATGACTTGGATTCCATGATGAGAACAGTTATATTAATTGAGATGTCCAGAGTATTGTCTCATTTAGTTGTAACAAATCTAAGCAGTTGTGCCCCAAGACCCAAAGAACTTGGATGTATTTTAAGAGATCTCTTTGAAAGAGGTGGTAATCAGCCCATGTTAAAGGAACTTAACTCAGAAGTGTGCCACACAGTTCCATTTCTAGGGAAAAGTGCTTATCAAACAACTCTGGGCATAAAGTTGACGTTCTACATTCACCTGGATTTTGTGACAAAGACTGACTTGGTCACCTTGGGAGTGACCTTTGCTGAGAAAAAACGGAGGGAACACCAGTCCTGTTGCTTTCCTTGGACTTCACAGTTTTTAGCACCATCAGCCATAGTATCCATTAAAATTAGCTCCCTGACTAAGACTGGTTCAGTCTATTCCAGAAGGTACTGCTGAGAGTAGTTACTGTTTTGTCATATTGCAATTATTTCATATTTCTATTTTGCATTTACATGAAACTGCTGTGGAAAATTATTTGTGATATTAGCTGAACTATTATCAACACACAGATGACATTTTTCATTTAACACAGCTGACATGGTAAATGTTCTGAAACACAGCATAATTGCCTGGATGAAAATCAAGAAACAAAGCTCAGCCCAGACTGAGATCAGAAATATTATTTGGGGTGGTTGTGATTATTTGTTCCAGTATAGGTTAAAAGCCCTTGTGAGAGTTTGGGAAAGCAGTATGGAGTATTCTTGAAACTCAGTGGTAGTTTAATTACCTCATAAAACCACCCTCCTTTGAAATAGATAGCCAATGCTCAATTGTACATGCTCTGATAAACTTCTGATTAAATTATTATAATGTGTTTTTTCATCTTCAAATGTGCATGGCTCCTTTGAAGATGAAAACGTTAGTTATTCCAACACAGACTGGCCCGGAAATTAATTGGGACTGTTCAATTCAGACACAAGAAATCAGTGCTTCATTGGCAATTCAAAGAGCTGATATTATTCTTTAAAGTTTTGAATGGCTTGGGGCCAGATACTTATAGGAACACCTCTCTCCCCATAGGTACTACTATAAGCATTCTGGTTACTTGAAGAGTCTGTCTTTTAAGTGTCCCTGCCAAAATGAAGCCAGACAAGTAGCTTTGAGGAATGGGATAGAGCAACTCAGTTATGGGCTCCTTATTACAGAATGTCTTTCCTGGTAATCACACCTGGTACTTATATTTGATGGCTCAATTTAGGTTTTTACTGCCTGCACTATATGAAAATCATGGTTTATATCTATTTATTTAAAGAACATTTATCTTTAACACTTGCTATTTATTTTATTGTTTATTTTATTACTTATTTGTATTTGGTTTATAGTTTTGTAACCAATTCAAATCTTAATGACTTGGCAGATTTAAAATATTTATAATACTTTGCAAAATTACATTTTAATATTTCAGTCTCCTAGCTTCAGGGAACTGGAAATACTTCTGTTAAATGTAACCACTGCCTAGAAGATGAAATCTTTTTAGTTATGGCTATAAAAACGTCTGAGAAATGAGCTTCATTCATAGGGGTGGAAAGCAGCTTGTCTATACTACTACCGTATTTTTTGTGATTCATGTCTTTTACCTTTTCTGCTCGAAGCTGCTGTACAAGTCTTTCCTGTTCTCTTATCACTTTGTTTTGTTCACAGAGTTTTCCTAGAAGCTTCTGCCATGTGAAAAAGAGAAATAAAACATGAAGTCTGTAGAAGACATCAAGTATGAGAAATATAAAATTTCAGCTGCTTTGATGGAGATCAGTTAGACCCCACCAGAGGCCTGGTCTCAGTTCCTGAATTCCAAATCCATGCAAGAGAAAATACAAACAATTAAACCAGCATGAAGGCGTGTGCACTGAATAAAAGGGAGACATACAAAAGGAAAAGAGACCGCACAAGATTTTTGGTGGAGGATGATCAAGAGCCTTTATAGCCTTGCAGTTCCATTAGCAGAAAAGATGGATTATCTAAAGATATGAAATGGAAAGAAAGAACCCCCACGAACCTCAGGGAATGCAGGGTAGACAGTGGTAACAGGATGGGGGATGGATTGAGTAGGCAGATGACAGTGAGGAAGAGGTGTTCTTACATCTGTGTGTTGCTCATTTATCTTGTAGGTGTGCAGCGTCTCTCTATATGCTTCAGGGAAATGAGACACCTGAAAAAATAAAAACAGGTCATTGCTGCTCTCTCTACCTTGATGTTGTCATAATAAGCCCCTGAGGAAATCCAAGCCTGCTACTACTTAGTGGATCTCTCCACCCTTTACATATACATACGGTACATACACATACATTATCAGATTGTACAACTCTAAGTATTAAATTTTCCAAGCCTTTCTCAAAAACAACACATAACTGAAGGAAAAAAAGAGACATTACCATGTATGACAATTGTCCCCCTCCCTCCCCCCAATCTAACCAACTGTCTTTGAAAACAGTTCTTCTTTGTCAAGGAAAGAAAATGGCTCTTTTGCTTTCAACATAGGAAGGAACAGTCAGGTTTCTAACAAAACGTTGCTTTTTTATATAATTACTGGTCAGATTTATGAAGAAATTAGCTCTTTTACATGAGTGCTAGGTGTCCAACTATCAGGCAATTATACACATTATGCGATAAAGCCATAGTTTACCTTCATGATTACTACATCTATATTTGTAATGAGAATTAAGGATATGGCCCATTCTCCTTGCCCCTCTAGAATTTAGGATGATTATGGGGAGAAAAGTTCCTTAAAATTATCATAACTACTACGGTGCAAAAGAGTTATTCTATACAGACACTAATGCATTTCATGTTAATATACAAAGCAAGAATGCAGCACAAAAAGCCAAGAAGATTGTTTGATGGTGTTTGTAGGCCTAATAACAATTGTTATGGATATACACTGCATTGCATAAAGCTTCCTGGGTCTATGCCATCACATGTATACATCATATGCCAATATGATGAAAATGGCTGATATATAGATCCTGACTTTTTAGAAACAGATTGCTCAGGATAATATGACCTTTAGCTAGATTTAGTTGGATTAACAAGGCTGTTTAGTGAGAGCAGTGATAGTTTAATTTGAGAACCTGTACTTAATTACAATAATGGAATCTTTATAGATTGGATTGTATCCCCAATTTAATTGCTGATTTCAAAACTGCAAAAATCTGGACAATATTTTTCAAGATGAAGATGCTTTATATAACATCCAGACTTAAATTTATAAGCAAACCAATACAATGCAATAAAAAAAAAAATAAGGAGGTGGTTTTTGAACCCTGCCCTTTTGGTCTAAGCTTTCATAATCAAACTCAAATTTTGTGGATTTTCTTCTCTCTGGAAAAATGAAGTTGCTAATTGCACTTATCCCCAGTTGTATGAACAAGTATGAGAGGAGAATACAGATTAAGGCAGGATCTGCAGGGAGAGTCAAAATGATGGATGTGGTGTTGTAATTAAATCCAATCTCTTTTCTCTGGTCATCTCCATGCATGTACAAAGCACTGAGATTTTGATCACAACCCTGCACCTGCCATCTTGTAGATTCTCTCTCTGTGGACACCCATGACCAATAAGTACCAATACAGGAAACCCTCACATACACCACTATATCAGAACCCAGGTTTGGTGATGCTTAGCTCGGCTCCATTATGGCTTTACTACATAAAGTTTCCCCCTGTCCAGTTAAGTCCGACTCTAGGGCACAGTGCTCATCTCCATTTTTTAGTCAAGGAAGCCTACATTGTCCAAAGACACTTTACATGGTTATGTGACCAGCATAATTTATATGCCGAGGCACTCAATACTCTGTCACCTTTGCACCAAAGTGGTGCCTATTCATCTATTTGTATTTGCATGCTTTCGAACTGCTAGGTGGGAAGGAGCTGGGCCAAGTAACAGGAGCTTGTGGCACTCAAGTCTCAAACTTGGGCTGTCATCTTTTCAGCTGACAAGCTCAGCATCTTTAACCACTGAGCCATCTCACCCCCTTGGCCTTACCATATACTTGGCAGGAACCGAATGAACTTCCTAATGGAAAAGGCACTGCTGGGAAAAGCCTCACCCACAAACATAATGCATCATGCTTTTATTTAACTATTACAACATCTTAAAACATATTTTATTACTACTTTTAATACCATTTAATATCATTACCAAAGAATTTCACATGCACTGAAATCTTTAAAAAGTCACTGCTTGTCTACATAAATAAAATGGCTAAAAGGCCTGCCTTGGTCTGTAGTATCTTCCCATATTTTTGTGAATGTTATGCAACATAATAATATCTATGTTTGGAAGACAGTTGAAAACCATCTTCAGGTCCTCCAGTGCAAGTAGGCCAGAGAATAGCAACATATAAGTCAATAAAGGATTCATGACCTACTTTCAAAACCTTTAGCCAGAGACCAATTTAGACTTCTAAGAAGAGCTATCTACCTCTTCACAAAGCCTCATGAAGAGAGTACAAAAAGCTCCTCCCTAAAAGGGGTATAAGAAAGATCAAATGTGCCCATCTCCTCTTCCCTATAGTTTTGCTTCAGTTCCATCCACCATATATGGGGTTCTTACTCTGAAAGAATGCATCTGTTAACAGAAATAAGGCATTTTGCCGCTGGACTTGTAATGTCTCATCAAATATACAATAATCCACTTTTCTCATATAATAAACAGAACTCAGACTGCTCCAAACATATTCCACCTAACCAGCAATTATAAGCAATGTTCAACTGCTGTTCTTCTTAAAGAGTGGTGCAAACCCATAAAAATATATTTTAGTGCTAAAAGTTACAAAACAAGTATTGAAGCCAAAGACAGAGATTGATGGTAGATGGCTGGCAGTAATTGGGAGGAATGCAGCTCTAATTATTCCGTTGTTGACTGTGTTGCTCAATACAAAATGAACAATGCCAAGCTTACAAAAACAGAATCTCTATAAAAATCTAAGACAACTCTACCATTATAAGGGTAAATTGCTGTGGAAAAACTTATTCTTCCTTCATGTAAATATAATTATAGATGTTACTATGCTTAACCACTTTCCAGAGGTATCATAATTTATGTAAATATAATAACAAAGATTTTTTCATTAGAAAAAACTAATCAACTGGTAGGTTTTGTTGCTTTCATCAATCTCAAAAGAAATATATGGATTTAAATCATTTTAAGAGAGCCTCTTCTGTTGGAGTCACTAGCACAGGGGGGCATGGATGCCATGATGAGTTTGTAAACAAAGGCAACTGTGGGATGGAAAGTTGAATGGCCACCTCACAGATGGTTGTGGAGGTGAGGCATGGAACAATGATACTGGATGGTTCTGCAATATGCAAAAACAGCTGGAATGTCATGGTTGATGGCAGAGCTTCTGTGATGTCTTACTTGCAAGTACAGTTGAGCCCTAGGAGAGGAGCTCTCCACCATTCTGTTCACCATACTGATCAAAGTCTCGCTCTCGCTCATCTGTGGCAGATAAGGAAAAACAGTCATGATGCTAATGGAGACAGAGTCATTTCTATTCAAGCTTAAACTTGTGTCATCCCTAAGATAAATGTGGAACTATCTGGATCAGTAGCTCATATCTTGTAGTAGAGAGAGGTACCAAAATGAAGCTCACTGTATGATAATTGTTAAGACCATGCAGGTCTTCAAAAGGGTGGTGAACTTTCTTGAGACTTCAACGGAAGAGTCTTTTCAATGAAAAGCTGTTAAGTAAAATGGCCCCACATTTTTCTTTGTCAGGGAGAAATAACCACTTCAGTTCACTTGATAATAAGGGGCTTCTGAATGGAATGGCCAACTGGGGCAGAGCGGTCCATCTTAATTCTTTGTTGAGGTGAAACGAGGCATCTCCACAAGGCAGCTCATCATCTCAAGGCAATCCTCTATGATAGAAAGCACCTCATCAAGGCAGAGAGTATGGACAGTCTCCTCTTAATTCTTTGCTGCAATTTACATGCACATGTTTATTGATTTGTATAAATCGCCGTCACAGAGAAGGGAAGCCTGGTTGGAGAGAAGAAGTCAATCCTGCCTCCTTCCTGCTGACAAGAATCCTCATTGTACAAGCACTAGATTTCACTGACAGGATAACCTTTTTTGGCCTTCCCCAGAACCTCTCCATCTCCATACAAAGTCAGTTGGACAGGCAACTGGGCCAGGACACCATCCTATAGTTTAAAATGAAGGACATTACATTGGAGGAATCATATTGGATTATCTTTCTGGGGTAAGGGGGAACTATGTATGTATACATATAAGTATGTTGTCCACCCCCCACCCCCCATATCCTTTACTTTATTTGGAGGACCAACACAGTAGATCCATGTTTGGATCTGCTGCATTTTTTTTCCCCTTTTGACCCCTCCAAAATAGGCATTTGCCACTTTGAAAATGAAGAAAGGAAGAAAGTTACAAACCGTTCTTTCTCCCATGGAAATTGCTTTGGTCACAGGTCCTTTGGAAACTCTAATCTGTTTCCTCTATGGGTCTAATTAATAGGACCTTGGTGGGCAAAGGTTATGTTACAGAAATAGTGCAAGAAAGGAAGATTTCAACCAGAAAGGGGGTTGTTGAAATGGAATGGATGTAGCTCCCATTTCTACCTTTCAGTATTTTACTTTGGGAGCAGCTTTTTACTTCTTTAACAAACAAAGCAAATAGATGTTGCTGTAGCAAATAATTTGTTTCTATTTTGAAAAAGAAAGCAAAGGAAAGCTGCTGCTGCTAATCATGACTAGGTCTCTCTCTTTTAATCTTATGCACTATATCGTACCTCCAGTTCCCTTTGCATATTCTATTTTCCATTTGGAAAAACCAAGACTGCTCTAAAATAGAGAGTAGCTCACATGAGTCCTTAGCAGTGCAAATTAGCTTTAAATTGACTTTTCTTCAGGTATACGGCCTGACTAGTTACTATATTGCCTCTCAGAAATAAATGTTTCAACAGAACAGATTATTTAAATCTGGAGTATTGAGATGCAGAAAGTCTCTCACTGATGATGTTACTTAGCAAAGAGCCAAGCTCAGAGAGTTCACAGTTCAAATCTGAGTTAAAGATTTTTGTTCGTTTAGAAAGCATTATTTGTGCATATCCTACTGCATATGGTATATAGGTTATTTAGACTGATCCTGGAGGAAGGAGAGGCACTTATGTAGGGTTGTATGTATCTTCTCATTTTTGAATTCCTTCTAAATATAGATTTTTAGAGAACAAACCATATATAATAAAATATTCATTGCTTAAACAAAATCTCAAGGATAGGTTAGAAGATATATCTTTGAATAAATTTTCATTCTTCAACAAAAGTCAACAGGATTACATCTATATTCATACATCTCACAAGGAACATAAACAGAGGTTCTGAATCAGTTGCATTTAAAAACACAAATCACCAGGGCATAACAAAAAAAAAAATTGGAAGCAGAATGATTCCAATTGATTATGGTATACTATAATCTTTCTCCTATGTTCTAAAATGGAAGATGGAAAGCTGCAAAGGGGTTTGCAAAGTTGCAAGGTTTAGAAAATTTACAATGAAAAGAGAGAGGCAGAATCCCACTACCATGAATAGTAACCCAGCAGCTTGGTTTCAGTCCAACCTAGGCACTCACATTTTCCAAATTATTGTATAGTGGTGGACTTTGACACTGAAGCCACAATGAGATTGGCTTTGGAACTAGCACTGATTCAATGCAGGCATTTTTCAGCCTAGTATCAGCCAGTCATCATGTTTTTTAATTTCCAGCTGAAATTCTCTGCCAGCATTTCCTCAAAAAGCTTTGATTTTCTTTGATGTTTTTCAGAGGTCAACAGCTATGTCTTAACACTATGTAATATGCTGAGAATACTACTGAATCTCAAATTTAAATTGTAGGGAAGGTTGTTTGGTTTATCTGCTTGAAGTATTAGTTACCAAATTTAAATGTGTAATTTTTTTTCTGGTGGGCAGATAGCCTTATGATAAAAACTGGATTTTATGTGGTGACTATATCTGAATTCACCTGTTACTTCACATACATACATACATACATACATACATACATACATGCATGCATGCATACATACATACATACATACATACATACATACATACCTATGTAAAGGTTTTGCTTGCCAGTCATGTCTGACTCTAGACGGCAATGTTCATCTCTACTTTACAGCCAAAGAGTCAGAACTGTCTGAAGATGCTTCCACAGTCATGTGGCCAGCATGTCCAGATGCCGAAGGCAGTCGGAACACTGTTACCTTCCCACTGAAATGGTGCCTATTTAGATAACTTGCATTTACATGCTTTGGAACTGCTAGGTTAGCAGGAGCTGGGGTAAGTAATGGAAGCTCACTCTGCCATGTGGGACTTAGGTCTAGAACTGCCAATCTTCCAGTCGACAAACCCAGTGTCTTAATTGCTCGGCCTTTTTCATCCATATACCAGATATTCTGGTAGCATACACATTTAAGAAATGTAATCTTAAATATTTTATTCTAGCTGCCTCAATTTTTCTCCATGCAATATTTGAACAATTCATGCGACTTACATTTAAACTGCAAAGAATTTGGGGGAACCGAAAGATTAATAAATGTGGTATGATATTCCAATATACTTTACAAAAGCATGTGTCCTAATAAATCTGTTAGTACTAGAGGTTTTGCAAAGTTGAAGAATCCAGAGACAATTCAGTGCTATAGGACAGAGGTCTCCAACTTTTCTGATTCAGTGGACCGATGGAGGTGTGATAGGAAGAAGAGGGGATGGTTTAGTGTGCACATGCACTCACCTACCACTTCCCTGGCCCAGTTCCCAATAGGCTGTGACCTCGCAATGGGTCACGGATCGGGAGTTGGGGACACCTGCACCAGGCAACTGTAGGAAGGCTTGGCAATGACTGAGCATGCCCCTGATGACAACATCACACTAAAGATAAGACTTTTGAACTTGCCTTAGACATTATGGTGTCATTATTTAAATTGGCAATTTGTATGACAATATGACATGAATGTTCAAGGCCTGATAGGGATGCCACAGACTATATTTCATACTTTGCGCATATTCAGTTCTTTAGTTCAAACTGGATAAATCAATTTGCTTAGTCCCTGCTGAGTCAAACAAAAATAGCAGCTAATTCTGGTTGGGATATTTGTGGCATTGCATAATGATTCTGATACAACTTAGAGTTCATTCAATCTGCTTAAAGCTCACTTCAAGTAATTCTGATTGAGAAAGTTGAAATACAGTGATGCAGGATTGATGTTTCTTGCTAAGGTTATTGGCAATGAAGAAATTGTTATGCATGGAGTTGTAGGAACAGATAGAAAATCCAATGTCTGATAAATACAACAAGGAGACAGAAAGATGAAGGAATAAAAATAATTTAGATTCATCAGTGTCCCTAAGGAACCAGGTGGGCTTTGTAAAGTTCAGTTTCACTTAGTCTACAATGTTCATTTACATTCTTAACTTTATTACTGTATGTCCTGTTCCTGGATTAAAAAAAAGAAAATCACAGGAATATGTGTACATTTTTCTTAATATATAGATATCTATAAGGATTTTCACTTGCTGGATTGTGGTTTTCTGCACATTTTTTCTCCATTATACAGTATGAATTTCTACAAGCATTTTTAACAATAAATATTTTCTTAATGTGTAAATGATTTTCAATTATATAATGTAATTTCAGTCTTGCTTTACCTTAATACATGCAGCCTACATCAAAAATTTCAGAAAGTTGTGTATATTAGCATACCATTGTGCTTCACATATACATAAATTTTGGTAGCACATGTTAGTGAATTTGCATAAATGTTAAATGCAAATTCACTTCTTGGAAGAACATTAGAGATTCAAGTTTAGATTTCCAAACATTTTTCTTTCTTTTTTAAAACAAATATTTACTGAGACAGTTTACGGAATGGGTAAACTGAAATTTATCCTTCCTGACAATTTTTTATGGTGTGTGAGCGGGGTGGGTAGGTGGGGATGGGAGGGGGTCTATTCTTTTGGCATATCTGTCAAATTAGTAAACATCCCTCACATCCGATGCTCTAACTCCAGATGAATATCCCAGAGGTCCCCCTCTTATTTTTACACTGATCCTCAAACATTAATAGCTATCCAAAATTGCTCCTCAGCTGTTGCTTCCTAATTTGATAAAATGTGTTGCTAGAATTCTGGACTGTAGTACTTCAGCTACTTATTACCTATAGATCCATTTGTTAAATCAGCACATTAAAAAGTGAACAGCAGGATTGTGACAGTTCATACTGCAAAAACAAATACACAAACAAACAAAACCCTTCCTTCCCCCCCCCCCCCCTGTGTAGTTCAGAGTGCTAAGATGGTGCAGGATTTCCCAAATAAATATTCTTTCAGACTTCAGGTGAATTTCCTTACCTATTGCAGTACAATCTAAAGAAAGTTTACCACCTGAGTCTGTGAAACATATAAACTGCTTCAAGAAACAGGGATTCAGGAAAGACTTGTTGAGCTGCATGAGTGAGGACTCTAATTAGCTTCCATTGCTATTCTCATCAGAGAGAAACCATTTAAAGTACAGCCAGTGCTAGATTTCATTCACCCACTAGCAAGGACACCAGTGACTGTAACGACAGAAGGGGGGATATTTGTAGCTCAGGGTTGAACTGTGAGATCCTTGGTACTCTCTGAGTTTTGTGGTTTTCTTGCAAAGATTTCATTATCAAACTATATAATATAATCACTGAATTGATGATGTTACATAGTTTAGTCATGAAATGTCTGCAAGAAAACCAAGCTCAGAGAGCACCAAGGACCCCCTAGTAATGACTGGGTTAGGTATTCATCTACCATTTCTTTCTTCCACAGGTCCTAAACTGGAAGCACTAGGACACTTGGGGCAAACCCTGCCATTAAACACACCTCCTGCAGGCAAGTTTGTAGGTAGGGTAATCAAAACAAACACCTGCCTTTTGGTCTTGGTGGGAAGGTCAATAGTGCCCCAGGACAATAATGAATTTTACAAAGCCAATCTTCTGAGGGGAGGAGGAATGTATCCATATATAGGTCAAATTAAAAATAAAAGTAGAAAGCAGTAAGAAATTTTCCTACATTTTTTTTACCAGTTCAACTGAAAAAAGAATTGGCTTTCAACATTTCATTCAAAGAAGAAAAACATTTCAAAGAAATGTCTGTGGTGTATACAAATGGCTTTTTTGAAATTCTTCACCAGATTTATGAGCAGAGAAACTGAGGGGATGATTTTAAAAAAAATTGTAGGGGAAAAGAGAAATTCCGCAACAACTTCTTGAGGACAAGATGCCCTCTTAGTAATATTTAAAAAAATATTTAGTGAGAGGCACTCCTCATAATGTCTTCCTTTGAAAGATGATTATGCAAGGGAAGGCACAACAATCACGTACACCCTTTGGCTACTTCCCAACTAAATATTTGCCAAGAACACCACATTCCTCCACCCATGTGAATATTTCAGCAGAATTCTGCTAGAAAATCTAGTCAGAATATTGTGTAAACATTCTGTAGTCAGGAATGCATTAGAGAAACACACCTTCTAGCATATGAAATCTACAGATCTCTAGACAAGCAATGTATTTCTTTTTTTTAGATCCCCAAAATGAAACATTTATTTATTTTTATATATGTATTCATTGGATTTTTGTGCTGCCCATCTCTGGGCATTGCCCTCCCACAAGGAACGCTAACACAAACTGAGAACCAGTAGTGCTAGCACAAGCATCAAGAGATTTTGGGGAAAGGGAAGGAGGTGCAGGAAAGGGAGGATGACACAGGCCTGACAACAGGACTGGAGGAAGATGGGTTTGGCAGAGCCAAGGCTGAATGTGTGGGGAGTAGTGAAGTGGTGAGAGGGGAAACACAGCCAGCTTAGCCTACCTGTTGGTCCAAATACTCTAGGTTTCTTTGCAACTGAAGGTCTAAAAGTTCATCCTATCAGGAGCCATTAGGCATGCGGCAAAATGGAAACACAAACATACAAAAACAACGAACACAAAGAAGAAGCAAAAGCAGTTAGGTGCAGCTAAACTAGACACAGGCAAAGAGCTTTCCCCATACAGCAAAGGGAACATTCACAGACTCCGAAGCACTTTTAAAAAGAGAAGATAAGTGAATAATAGTTGTTCAGCAATCTTTTCAGATCAGGAAATATATAAAATTCATTTCAGGGACTCTCAGAGATTCCGATAGCCCTGAACGATCATCAGTGCTCTCTCCCCAAGCCTTGTTTGGCATCTTATTGTATGGCTGAGCATTAACAGAGTGACCACATTAATCTAATCCAGATCATTCTATCTTGTTTAATACAGCCTGAGTTTGGCAGGCTATCAAGTTATATCATTTGATCAAGTTATATCACAATATAAGTCTTACTCCTTCCCCTGTAAAAGACCATTTTCTGAGTCCACATGTGTTGTTTATTGAATTCAGGACCTCAAGAGCGATTCCTCTGCTCTTGCTGTTGAGGCTACATTTGCTGCCAAGATCAACATATTTGCAGATAGCATTCAACACTTTCCCCTGTAAAACATGAGAAGTTACCTTGAAAGCAAAGGGCTGTGTTGAAATGTCTCTTTCCTCTGTTTTTTGCTCAGCAGGTACAATGGTGTTTACATATGATGAACTCTGAACTGACCCATCATGCCCAGATCAACTGGACAAAAGGGGTAGAAGTGTGTGGCTCCATCACAACATGCTTCTGTACAATCCACTGCGATCATGCAGCTTCAGAGACAGTACAAGAATATGGCCCTTGTTGGGTGGGGGGTGGGGGAGGCTGAGGTTGGAAACAGAGCATCTGTTATCAGAAAGAATGTTCCTGACCCGCTTAGTGATATCAAACTCATCTCACTGCATTTTTAGTTCAGCCGCATGCATCTACTTTTGTGCATAGCTTGTGAAAAAGCAGGGGTGGTGAGGGAGAAGCTGCGTGCAACAAGCGTGCATCTAGAGTTTGTTCCACAGGGCACCTTAAATCCAGTCCAGAATTTACTGGCTGCTGTCAGGTGTCAGGTAGGGTCAAAAAACGTGGCATGGAGCAATGAAGTTGGCACTTTCATTTGGCAGAGTCCCATTCACAGTGTTTGTTGCCCCCACCACATGGATCCTCCCCCGCAGTGGAATAATCAAACAAAGAGAGAATTAGAATGACCAAGGAAAACAGCATATAAAAATAGCCAACAAGGGGAAACAGAGATTTTATCATGTATTTTTCCATTGCAGTTTTTGACTCTAATTATTTTTGTGATGCAGAGAATGACAATAGAAAATTAAAGAGGATTAGTCCTCCTCAGTTTTTGCATTACCAATTCTTTGGGATACCATCAATTTCAGAATGGTATCCCATATACAATACCAGAAGATTTATGGGTGTTCAGCCATTGGGAAGGTTCTGCTTGTTACAGGGAATAAAGCAGTATTTTTCCATCTAGAGATCACCCATAGAAGTGGACCAACTCTAAAGGCAAGGCAAATGCTTGGTTGAAGTGAGCAACAAGAATAAACAGCTCACTGTTGGTGGAGCTGTTACCTTCAACATGCAAACAGCTTGCTATGCAATCTGTGACTTAATTGCAAATTTTCCTCGACTTTGAGGTAGAAGCAAGAAATGATACAATAACTAAGTTGTTAAACAGGTGGTCCATTCCTCCCTAAAGTATGGAAGATAATCTTGATGGAGATATGCAAGTTATACTGCACTTCCTCCTCTCTCTTACACTTGTGAATTAGGGAGGTGTTTGTGCCTTTCCAAATGTTATATAGATGTTCTGGACTTTGACAATGTTTTGCCCCTGGTCTCTTTGGGAAGAGAGTTTGGGTATCACCATCAAAGTCATCTTCACGCTCTCTAAACATACTGGACTTTGCATTCTATCTCTTCTTGCAACTCTTCCTGGGTGGTAATGTTAATAAACACTGGTTTCAGCTCAATGAATGAGTATATGCATGGGGTTTTTTTTCTTTCTCTAAAAATCACACACTCGTTTCCTTCTTTGCTCTTCAAAAACGCATACAAACTATGATCATCCAATCATCATCAGGCTAATGATTAAAATTTTCCACCTGTTCACATAGTCATGGTGCCTCCAGGCTAGGTTCATAACCAACCCTAATGAACTTCGCTGCTAAGGCAATTATTCCCACTTCTAAATTAAATGATAGCTTTAGGAAAGAAAAACACCTTCACTAGTGAAAGAATGGGATAATATTGTGGCTTACCATTTTATCATGGACTGTAGGGGATGCTGGATAGTTGAAAGGAAACATTCCTGCAGGAACAGGCTTTCTATCACCAAGGTAATCATACTGGGCAAACAAAAGGAATGTGTGTGAGATATATTTTCCTTATGTTAATAATCTAGTAATAACAATGACCTTCCTGCCGGAAGAAAAAATATCAAAGGCCATTAACTAAAGTGGTTATAGAAACTCCTTGAAACTGAAGTCTGGACACAAGACAAAAGGTTGGTTTCATAAGCAGAGCTACTTTGAAATCTGTATTGTAATATTACTTCGTTCCTGGGGTGATTCCCTCTCCTCTTCCATTGACACTCTCTAATTTGTTCTGAAAATCACACTGATCAAGCTATAGGGTGTAGCCATAAAGATGAACACTTCAAGTCTCAGTTCAAAAACTTGTCTAATCTACTAGCCTCTCAATTCAGCTAACATTGCCACCTTGGCATCACATTTCGGCTGCTGGAGCTTTATACCATATATTTAGTTTGAATTAGGGCTCATCTCAGATCTTTTATATTTATTTCTGAGTTAAGTATAATTAAGAACAGATGGTGCTAGAGGATTTGCAGGATGAAATGCTCCTGCTTCTGACTGTCTAGAACAGGGGCTATGGTCCATTTATGACTTGTGGACTTCAACTACCAGAATTCCTGAGCCAACCACAAGTCATCAAAGAATCATAGTTGCCCACCTCTGGTTTAAAATAGTCTTAACATATCTGAGATTGAGAAATAATCAGTTTATAATAGGGAATGTTATTTAAGATCAGCTTCTGTAAGCATTGTTTAGATATGACACTGCTCATTCCTGCCGTTACTCCAATTCTTAATCAGTTGTCTCTTGACTTGACTGATCAATAAATCTCCTTCATGTTCAGCAGCATCTTCCCTCCCCAGTTGTCTCCACTATGTGGCATAAACAATAAATAAATATAGAGATAGGACTATTATTAAAATCTCTTATCTCCCCCTCCCACCCTCACTTGGCTGGGTATCTACCGAAAGATGGCTGAGCTATTTGGAGGAGGGAAGCCTCAAAAGAACTTTACCTTTGGGGAACTGACAGATCGTCTCATCATGTAAGTCGATGGCTCAGCATATATCTCCTCACTTCGAGAAGGCATTCGTTCAAAATGGGTGCTGGGCGACCTTACTGGAGAATAGACTCTGGTCCTATTGTAGGATCCTTGACTTGGTGAGCGGGGGACTGATCGCGAACGAGGCTGAAGGGACATCCTGCGGAGGGAACTGGAAGCAGCGTCCATTTCATCATAGTACACTGGCTGCCGTGTGGGGCCCGGGATCCAGATGGGCATATCTTGTCTGCTATAGCCAGGCTGTTCTTTCCACTCTCGCAGCTGGAATGAGCTGCTGTTGCGGAAGGCGTGGCGCTTGTCCTCCACAGCCCACTGAGGGCTCACACGTTCATAGGCAGGCATAGAACAGATACTATCAGGACGCACACCAGGTGGATAGTACTGGTAATCCTCCGAGTACTGGGGTGAATAGGGAGGGTAATAATCAGGTACTCTCCGAGACATTGGGAAGAATCTGTTGGGGCTACAAGTTGCAAAAGAAACAAGAAAGGAAAATATTTGGTCTGGGGTTTTAGGATTTTCTATAACTATGTTAATCTCAGTCTACCATCTGCTGAACAGCACTGATATATTTTGCATATTTCTATGTGTAAAACTGGGTGAAACTGCAAAATTTACAGTTTTGTTTTAAGCATTAAAGATGCCTTCTTGACTCCAATCGTTTCACTATATTGTTTGCTTGTGTTTCTTAATTTTTTATTCTTCATAATTAAAGTTGTGAAACACTCCTAGTTTCCTCTCCTGTGTGTGAGCTACCTCCTTGAGTAGCAGAGTATACATACATGTGTCAGTTTTTGATAAATAACATGTAAAAGTTGATCTTTGCAAGGTTCAATTAGGATAAAAGCTGCTTTGGTACTTGTGCTAAAACTGTGACTTATAGATTTGGATCACTGAATTGCCCCAAATCAGTAAAGTTCATTGTCCATATGTCAAAAAGTAAACTTAACAGTGGAAAGATATTCATCTCTTTGTACTTTTTTGCTAGTATTTATTTTCTCTCACTGGGTATTTATATTGTTGGACTGTGTTTATTCCTGCAGGGTAATCTGAAAACTTTCTAAGAGCAGCAGTTGATAAACAGTTGATTTTTTAAAAATAAAAATAAAAACAATTACTTCATTCCATGATCAGGAACACTTGGTAAATAAGCTGAATATAGTCACCTGCTTGCCAAATATTTTTTCTGCTCTTCTGGGTGCAAGAGCACTAAATATAAACCAACTGTAAATTTTTAAAATAACGTATTCCAAGGCACCCAGAGGATGAAGGGGTTTTTTTTTTGTCAGAAAAGAAACTGAAATTGTTACAGCCTCATGTATTAAGGTCATGGACAATTATTTGGGGAAGAGGGAGTGGTACTAAGTACAGTATAAGATATAACATATTACAGGACCTAAAATCTACAATAAATCTACAGTATAGATTCTTTTTTCAGTATTAGTAAGGTAAATTTTTTAATCTGTGCTATGCTTTGTATCTTGATTGTTTAAACAACTCACCTATGGAGATCTTCAGGTGGGGGAACTCCACGGCGCAAATTGACCCACTGTTGCAACTGGGTCATGGAGCTTTTTCTCTGAGCAATCTTTTCTGGATTAGTGCGAGGTGCGAAGCTCCGACGAGAGATAACAGTATCTCCATCATGCTGTGGAAAAGCCATGCTGCCGGGACGAGTTGGAGATGAATACTGCCAACCATTTGGTTGTGGGGTTCTCTCCACTCCAGATGGCACACGAGTTGCTTCTGGATAAGGGCTTCCAGGCTCTGAGGGCGTATCTTGACTGGCAATGCCATTGGTTTTCACCAGTGCCTCTTTCTTATTTGCAACACGCTCTGGTTTTCTTTCAATCTTCTCAGAACCACGTCCATCACCTTCTCCTCTGGTCTTTGCTTCCAACTCAGCTTTGGCAAGCTCCCTGGTAAGGATACTGCGCTGGTGATGATGATGATGATGATTTTTGCTAGGAGGAATGTTCTCACAGTCAGTCTTTTCATGCCTAAGAAGAATGCATAAGAGCATTCATTGCCATAGTTTAGGATTAGCATATCCTAAACAAGGGATTCTAGTTTACTGTGAGTTCTGACCATCCTCTTGCAGATCTGATATAACAGTTTAAGTTATTACTGATTGAACTTTCTCACGAACCTACCAGTTTCACATTGTCTTAAAGCAATTATTCTAATTCCACTGAAGAAATAATCTTACGGCTATAGAATGATGCCATATGAGACAATGCGTTTGTTAGTATTTTACTAGCCATGCCACTAGCATCTTCCAAGTTCATCTAAAATTGAACTTAGCAATAAATATAACACCCTTATATAGCGTGTTCAGCACAGTGAAATGTCCACAACCAGTTCTAAACCACAGCCACCCATCTTTTGAACAACTGACCTTTGAGTAGGTGGGATTTGAACCCGGGCAGCCTCGCCCATGGCTTGAATCCAGGATTCTTGTTCCTCATTGTTCTCAGCGCTGAAGAAATAGGTCCGGATGCCAGCATGTTCAGCCTGAGGGGAGAATGACTTCTTGTGATTTTGTGGCATCTCTTCCATCCAACATACAGTTACCTGCAGAAACAAAGAATAGAAAGGGAGAAAGGGAGATAAAAAGATCCCAGTCAGTGTCCAGAGAGTAATTTTGTTTTCTTTCCTTTAGGAACATTATAAGTTCACCAAATTTTTATTTCATGACTGTCAGCTGTTATCTTTAAACTATTTTTGGATTTGTTCAAATAGACAGTGCTTTCAAACAGAAGAGGAATCCTGACCATCGTTTAAAAGGAAGATTATCCTCTTTAAAATTTAGCACAAACCAACTCCGCTTATTCCAACACAAAGATACCACCTCTGGCTCTCCAGCACCATGGATGAAAGCTTTCCCCTTGCAGGATATGCATAGGTCAAAAAGTGTAAGTGAAAAGCATGCAAAATACTGGTTCAACTCAGATTGCCTTTGCTAAACTCCTTGAAAATCATTTTTATGGTAGGGAGAACAAAACCTACTGTGAAATGGCTTATGGTAACTTATTGATCTGAATTAAAAGAATGAGAGATTTAACATAAACCCGCCAACATTAAACTTTAAATAATATAAACTTACTGCTTTGGGAATAGTTCCTAGACATTCAATATCTCTTCCTAACACAAACAAGGAAGAAAGATCTCTCAAATGTCCTAATTTTTCTAAACATCTTCATTCACAGCATTTCAGATAGACTGATCTTCCACCTGTAACACTTCAATGTTATCCCATCATTTCTGCCATCTTTTTTCTTAGCAGATGGAAAAATTAAGGAGGGATAGATTAAGTAGTGGTAAAGTGATCTTTGAATGTCAATGCTAAGAATTCTCCACAGAGAAGTAAATTCCATTTCCTTGCAGACTTTGAATAAGATTACAATTTCACAACAGGCATAGTTGTTGATTTAAAGAAATCACTGAAGGGAGTACTGAATCTTCCCTAACAATGCTATCTCAGCATTTGGGACATCGACAAAATCTGACTGCTCTCAGCTGTGCAGTGCATGCTATTCTGTTTACTTTCCCCAGCACGAACCATTTCTTCATCAGGTTAAAATGTAACAAGAGTCTAGGAAATCACACAGAGAGACTTTTAAGTACTTCATTCCTGACTTTTGATATGTAAAAGCTGAAGATTTTCAGATTAAAAAACCCCACAAAGGAAAGATTATTTTTGAAACTGCCAACTTTTGTAATTTGCTATGTGGATATTTTCAGCCTAAATAAAATGTGCTCATGAGCTAATACCACAGTTATTCTGAAGACTAGGATAAAAAGACTAGGCATGCATATAAAGAATACCAGTAGAGGCAACCACATTTGGTTTAAAACAATCCTATGTGGCTAACAAATCCAGATCAAAGTATTTCTTGAATTAGCTAAGTTCAAATTCTTTGTCTGAATATAACCAGCTCATTTATAGTGTGCTTGTTTCAATCATCCTGATTTTTTTAAAATCCAGATGTTTTAATGAAACTTACTAATCAATATAACACACACACAATTGGGCTCATATATTACATATTTTATTATGTACATTACATATTCATAGTAGAGAATGAATAGCATAATTTAGTTTTTGTTTATATTTACCCATCAGTTTTATTTCACAATTAATTGCCACTCATTGACTAACTACTACATGCCTTCCTGACTTTCACTTTGTTGAGCTAGATATTATCTTTCACAAATCATTGAGTGAAACCCATAACACGAACATTTATTTATGTACAAGTCATATAACAGTAATGAGTTCAATATCTACATCCTCAGTGGGATTTGCTTACATAGTTCTGTGTTTCCAGTATTCTCCATGGTTTAAAAAATACTTCTAGGTATTTCATTAGACAAAGGGATTCAAAATTTCCCCCACCACAATTTCCTTTGGGAATGATTGCAGGTGAATAAAGCATGCAGGATCATTTTTACCACTGGTACTTCATTTTTCCTTTCTGGCATGCATGCATGCATTTGGAAACAGAAGGAAAACACTACCTATTTGGTGGCTGGGTGATGTATTGCAGACCAGTAATCAGAAGAGATCTCCTGTCCAGGGGATCCTCACACAGAAAAACAGGGAAGACAGAGAACAGATCAGCCACACCCAATAAGCAATTCAATGGGGAGGAATATCAGCAGGCAAAGCACGCCAAGAGCAAAGATGGTCACTGTGAATGAGTTGTTGAAGCAGAACTGGATTCATACTTAGTGCTTTCTGAGCTTTAAACTGAATGGTCAACTTGGCTTTCACTGAATTTAGGAAAACTAGTCCTTGCATCTCAGCCTATGGAAGAACCCTCAGATAGTTGTGTCAGAATGCTAGGGGAAAATGTAGGTTCAAATATTACACCAATAGGATATGATGTAAAATAAAAGTTCTATAAACTGTAGGATGAAGTCAAAAATTATATTTCTAGAGCTACCTGTCCCGTACATGTTGATTATCTATTATAATAGATAAAATAAATAGATAGATAATCTAATAAATAGATTATCCATTACAAATTTTTTTCTGAACATGAATTAATGAGAGCACAATAATTATTAATAAACAAAAGAACAGAATATAAATTTTGGCTATTTTGTCATCAATACTGAAGTTTAGAGAAGATCAATACTGTACTTTCATTTCCTTCAACATGGATATTACAGATATTGAAAATCTAGGCACATTACTTCAGAATAATTCCTACTGAACTCTAAAATGTACTTCATAAGCTTTATATGATTTGGAAATATGATACTCTTCTCTAAGATTATATATCTCTCTGAGATCCTGTCTAGTGCAATAGTATCAGTAAAACTTAGTGGGAAAAGTTGTGCCAGAAAAAGAGTTCTTGGATTCCTATCACTCATAATCAGCCAAGTTGTCCTGAAAAGCATGTTTACATTTGGAGTCCCTGTGCTATTTTTAAATGCAACTCTTTTTTTATATACCACAAGTGGGAAGACATGTAGGAAGTTTTTCTAAGAAAACTCATGTATCAGTGGTTTCTAATCAAAACCAATTCATCATCATTAAAAAGGGAACAAATATTACATAGCACAGGTTTGAAACATCTGAAGAGCAAGCAATTTCAATGACTAGAAAGGGGTTAGGGAACAATACAATGGTCGAGATGGCAATGAGAAAAGTATGTGGTATATGTAACATGTAGATGTGCAAGTACTTACATCTAATTAATTTTCATTGAGTGTACTGGAAATTTGTTAAAATTTATTTTATTAAGATTTTTTGCAGCATAAAAGCAAAAAAACTTAGAAAAAAGTAAGAAAAAGATGGTGGATAGACAAAAAGAAAAATAAGGAGAAGAGATAGAAAAGAAAGAGTATATTGCATTTTTTTTGCATATGAAACAATCTTTAAATATCTCTAAATGAACACATATTTTCTAATCTGTCCCACAAGATCTTTCAATACTCTAAATTTATTCAATAAACATTATATGATCTATTTAACTAAATCTAGACTCACAGGAATTAATAGCCATCAAGTGAAAGAGGTACAGAATGAATTTGGAGCTAAATCTTGTAGGATTTAGGAGCTCATACATGTACACTGACATCACACATGCAGATACAAATGTACGCTCTAGGAATCCAAAACAATTTTAAGTGTGTGATACAAATGCTGTTTTCCTTCTAAATAAAGTGTCTACTGCATCCAGTTCAGATAGCGTTGTTAGCCTACGATACATTTCTACAAGCACAGCAAAGTCTATTTACACATTCATATACTAGGAACACTTCCATTTTTTACTGACCTTAAAGGTATATTTCCTGCTGATGTTATCCGATGGCTGGACAGCTGCCACTCGAAAACTGAGAAGTGGGATGCTGCCCAAGATGCTTTCCTCCTTCTCATCTGCATGAAAGAAAAAGAGAGGGACGAAGAATTAAACAATACTCCTTTATCTTAGTTAACAATTGTTAAAATGGACATCCATCTTCTTCATCACCATTGCAACTAAGAAACAATTCAGGGGCATAGGGTAATTTCCTTGCAGAAAGGAAGGAAGGAAGGAAGGAAGGAAGGAAGGAAGGAAGGAAGGAAGGAAGGAAGGAAGGAAGGAAGGAAGGAAGGAAGGAAGGAAGGAAGGCTTGAAAACAATCACTATGCAGGGAGTGGGGTGGAAAAGCTATGCCTAACTATTTATCTACCTATGAAAGATGCCCTCCTTGCCGTGATGCATTCATGCTTGTTCTTCTCTCCAATTCAGACCAGCAAGTGCTCACATATCCCTGTATGCATATCAATTACAGTTATACTTCACAATACTGTCTAGTTAATTATTCATGACCATCATCTTTTCCATCTGCTACCAGAGAAAAGGCCCAGGCAGCAGGTCTGTGAGAACCAAAGATTATAGGACAGCCATTCATACTGATATTGTTGGGCTCACAGTTTGGCAGGCAGAGTATAGAAAAATAAACAAGTTGCATTGGTGGTGGGTGACATGGAGTCTGCTTCATTGGAGTACTTGTCAGAGTAGAAAGCTGTGTATAAATTAAATAAATATATATGCTCTGCACTGTCATGCATGCCTCTTCACTGTCAAATCTTAATCGTTCCAGTAAGTCTAAAGGCAAGCACGATTAACAGGATATTATAAAGAATGTTAGATTTCTATTTGATGACACATAATCGATCAATCAATCCAAAGTTTGTGAAGGGGCAACAACAGGAATACTCAAATCATCTGTTTTAGAGAACTAATTACATTACTAGACTACAAGAAATATCATGCCACATATAAAATTATCTATTATTAGTGAGGAAATTCTCCCTAATTTCAGCCTTAATCCTATTTTTCAGACTATGAAGTTATTGTCTGTATTTATAACTTCCTTGAGCTCGGTAGTAAATTGAGACTCTGCAAGAGAAACTCCTATTTGCAGCAGACTAGAATCCTTTTGTAGCTGGCTCCAAGCATCACAATCCTTCTATATTTTTCTTTTTAATCAGGTAGCATTTATCTTCTTCAAAACTGAATGTTTTTATTTTGAATATTGTATTTAAAATTTAAACGGTATTTTATTATTATTTTATTTTGCTTATCTCCTGTGAGATCAATTTATTTCCCAAGAGAAGAAGAAAAGACTGAAACTACTCGCCACATCCCTCTGTACGACATAGAAAGAAATGACACTATTAAAATTATTTCATTTTACAATATTTTTACCATTTAATTGCCACAAAGGCAGCACAGATTCTAAATTATCAAGCTCCCTCAAAGTGGAGGTGAGGGCAGAGTGAAAAGATACAGGAGATTTCTGGAAGAGCAGGTCAATGATTTTGAGCCTTTGACTTTATGGATTCAGCCATTCAATAGCTGTATTGCAAAATGAAAAATTAATTGCTAGATAAAATAGCTAAGGACTAGCTGGGGAAGGAAGGAAGGAAGGAAGGAAGGAAGGAAGGAAGGAAGGAAGGA